TTTCTTATCATTCATTCTGGCTAGAACTATTAGTTTTGTACTGTGAAAAATTGTGAAGTCCTCACTAATCTAAAGCAAGAAAAGAACTTACTTGGGAGATATTCCTCACTCAAATTCACAATCGCTTGTTTAGAAGTCAGTAACTTGGGACGTAAATTATCTATTTTTAATAAGTCTGCTAGGATTTTCATTGCTAACAGTGGCACGCTCGCATACAAAAGAAAGTTGACTTGTTGACCAGTCAATGATTTTCGAGACAATGGGAAATTTTACCATACCAGCACAGAAACAAACATAAAATGGGTGAACAGCTCCAAGATTCACCGGCAACCGATTTACCATTCGACTCCCTAATGGATCAAGACTCACTAATCTAATGTGAGCCGAAGCCTAATGGAAGAAAGGGGGCAAAGGCCAAGAGATGGAGTACTTCGAACACTAAATGTGTAAAAATTTTGGAACAAATTGCTAAGAGCGGCGCACTGAGAATCAAGAGAGACTTGAAAAGAGAAGAAGCTGATAAGGCACAACATGAAGCATATGCAATTGAATGAGAGCATGCACAACAACAAGACATAGAGGACAAAGAGATGAAAATCATGGCTATGGATATAAGCCATATGTCTCCTGAAACAAAATCCTATTGGAAGCTAAAACGAAGGAATGTTATGAGAAGAAAGCTTTTCCATGACGATGGGCCTAGCAACACGGATTGGTTAAATGATCAAAACCGTTAAGTTGTATTGAAAGAGTTGTCATATGTATTAATTTGTTGTATCGTTTCTCTTTTATTGAATAAAGAAAGCATTAAATAATAAAGCTATTTATTAAAAATATTTCATACATCAAAACAAACCGTAATTCATTACAAACCACGCACAAAACAAAGCATAATTAAAAATAAACCATAATTGAAAACAAATCATAATTTAAAACAAACCATTATTAAAAACAATGCATAATTCCAAACAAAGCATTAAACTTGACTTCATCTACCGTGATTTCCTTTCATCATCCATAAGTGCTCGATTAAGTTAACTTCACATCTCTCGGGAAAATAAGAAGATTGCATTTCCATATAGCGGTCAATCATACGGTTGTTTTATCGACTATCCCTAATCAACTGTTCGTGCCCCAGTAGTTCTCTATTTGCTCCCAATGGCTGTTCATAAATTCTTGTCAATGACGTGTTCATGAGATCGAGTACGAACATCTCTGGGGAATTATAATCATACTCATCCTTCACAATCATGTTATAGAGGATGATGCAAATCATCATAGTGCTCCGAAGCACATCTTCATCGAACACACGAGCAACATCCCTTAATAATTGCCCAACGAGCTTGCAAGATACCAAAACACTTTCTCACATATTTCCTATAACCCTTTTAAAAGGTAGCAAAGCTTTTTTTCTTTATCCAATTGGAGATTTGGAATTGTTTTAACGAATGTTGTCCACCTTGGATAAATTCCGTCAGCGAGATTGTACCCACCCGAGTATACGGTATTGTTGATTTGATACATGATCTGGGGGGAATGACGTTTCAACACATCGTTGAATACCAGGAATTGACCAAGCACATTGAGGTCGTTTTGAGATCCGGCAACTTCGAAAAAGGTATGCCAAACCCATGTATCGAATGATGCAATGGCCTCCATAATTATAATTTTTTTGCCCTTCTTATTCCCGTAATCTCCTTGCCAAGCAGTTAGGCAATTCTTTCACTGTCAGTGCATGCAGTCGATGCTTCCAATCATGCTTGGTAAACCTCAAGCTTCGGCTTTTTGGAGGTCCGTAGGCATAGGTTTGCGAAGGTAATTCCTCATGTAGAGAGTTTATCTTGCATCACAGAATTTGACCAAGCACTCTAGGATAGTTGATTTTCCCATCTTACCAATCTCATCCACTTGGTCTGCAGATGCCCCATACGCAAGTATCCGTAAAGAAGCTGTAAGTTTTTGCTTCGGAAGAATACCCAAAACCTCAATAGCATCGTACTTCTGAACGAAGTATGTGTCGTAATTACAAACATCATGCATGATTTTGTTGAACAAATGGGGTTGCGTTCTATATCTCCCTCGAAAATAAGAAATAGGATATAACAAATTTGGGATAAAGTAATTTTTCAAGAGATTTTTACCCCGAGAGTGCCTATGTCTGTCCACGTTCATGACACAACCATGGTGGTGTTGCCTTGATTGATTGAGCATACCCACCTCTTAAACAACTTCATCCTCTTCTTCATGCAACTCACGATCTTCTTCAACACGTCTGAGCCTGATTTCTTAATCTTCTCGTTGTTGCCTCTCTAACACCCTCATCACGTTAGACATTGAGAGTAGAATGTGTTTTGTAAAATTTGATAAATGAAAAGATAGAGAAGATATGGCGTGAGAGATCTGAGTTGATGGTGTAGTTTTAGAGAGGGATTTAGAAGATAGAGATGACACGTGGCACAATTTTAAAGGGTGAAAATATGTGATTAGAATTTTATAATAAATATCGACACGTGGCCAGGGACGGACCCAGGATTTCAAAATGACGTGGGCTAAATTTACCTCACATACAAACCTATTGAAAACTCAATGGTACGAGTAAATTTCATTGATAACAAAAAAAAAATATACGGGAGACATAATAAGTCTTACCCCTCAAATAACACTTATATAAGTTGAGTCATTCAAGTCTTCACCGCATTAAAATCACTAATTATTGATTAATTATCTATATTATCAGCAAATTCTCTTTCAATATGAAGTAGCATACAATTAGCAAGAAACTCATCACCTATCTTATTCCAAAGTCGAATTTTAATAAGTCTCCTACATGAAAATGCTCATTCTATTGTTGTTGTAGACACAGGAAGAGTTAGCAGCAAACGAATCAATCTATCAATCAAGTAGTATGTTTATGCTAATTTTGTTCTTTTTATTTAGGTGGTTAGCCTAGTCCTAATGGGATTAATTAATAATATTTTATTTAGGTGACCTAGGCTAGAATATTAATTTAGTCTATAAAAAACAAGCTGCTTGGGCTTTAGCCCAGGTTAGCATGTTAGTAGGTACGTGCCTGCACGTGGCAACCAAGAATCTTATCTAAAATTTGAGATCTGAATGTTATAATATATATAGACACATGACTAGGCCTCATCATTTGGCCCGCGGGCTCATGGGCCGATGGGGGCCCACCCGGCCCATTGAAAAAAAGCCCGGCCCGACCTGTTATAGGCTTTGAGATGGCCCGGTCTGCCTTGGGCCGAGCTAGGCTTAGGCTTGGGTGTCTGAAGCCCGACCCAGCCCGATTAAGCCCAAGAAAGTCCGGCCCGGTCTGCCCACAAAAGCCCGGCCCGTTAGGCCCGCATACATATATAATTATGTATAAATAAGAGTTTATGATTAGGATTATATCACTTAAATCACATATATAATTTGTTTCATTTCATTTACTTTTCTTTACCCATTCCTAGTTTATAATTAGATGATTAGCACATTAATTTGTGCCAATTATTAATACAACAATTTTATATATATAAATAAGATGAGCAGCATATCATATCACCAAATATAATCATATCACGAAACATAATCGTACCACCAAATATAATAATGCTTTTCTTGAACACATCACCAAACATTTGCATATTTATTCATAACATCCTTTAAATTTTTTTTTAATACTTATTATTTTTTAAAATTATTTCTTAAAACATATTACGGTCTTATTATGTAATAATCTCAAAAATAATACTTGGTTTTATTATTTTTGTGGAAAATCTTATTAAGTTGTTTGACTTTATTAGGTGTTTCATGAATTTGGTTTGATGTGAAAATATTAGAATCAAGTGAGTTTAATCTCAAATTTGGACTAAAATGCCCTTATGATTAAATTTATGATTTTTTTCAAATGAAGTAGGCTTATTTCGGCCCAGCCCATTGGACTTAGCCCTGCCTGGCCCGATGGGCTTTCTCAAGCCCGGCTCATGGGTCGAGCTTGGGCTTTGAATTTTCTAAAAAACCCCAACCCGGCCCCGCCCGATATTTTCTCTCTCCTCTTTAAAGCCCGGCCAGGCCCATTGACAAGCCTACACATGACAAATTAAATTTAATCCCAAAATTTAATTTGAAAATGTTATCTTAAAATTTGGATGAGAATTTTATAATAAATAGTGACACGTGGTAATCAAAAATCTTATCAAAATTAATCGTTTAAGTATAAAAAATAAAAAATAAAATAAAGTGAATAGTAATTACTCTTGCATTTACTTTGCCTTTTGAGGTGAAAACAAAATATGTAAAGACGGCTACTATTCACATAAATAATGACAAAACTTACCTTACCCTCTGAGGTGGAAGTGCTCTAAATACGCAACTTCATAACTAATTAACATAATTGAATGAAGGCAAGTGCTTTCACCGGTCATGTTTTGATTCTTGAGTTTTGTTCACAAGTTAAGAAAAGAAAAGGAAAAATATTAATCTGATCCAATGGGCCTTTTTGCAGGGGAGTTGGTTCACTTGGGAGTGTTTGTTAGTGCATATCCAGCCCGTGGTCCCATCTAATCCCTTTATTAATGATTAATTTACTTTAAATTTAAATTTTAAAGAAGATATCCTCTCTGGGATCTTCAACCTTATCCACTTTGTTAAACTAGTACGCAACTTCTGAAAATGATAGCCACCCTATGGCCTATGATGATGTTTTATTTGAATGTCCCGAAAGTTCTCCGATGGGCTCTCTATTTGGATAAATTTTGCTCTAATAACTCAAATTTAAGTCAATTATTTACATATATTTTTTTTTAAACAAACGATATTAAAGAGGAGAAATCGAACTTACGATCATGAATACATCACTTGAGCTATAGCTTTATTACAATTAATTATATCATTAGAAACTAAAAAAAAAAATTAACATTGTCTTCAAAAAAACTTAGCATATCCTTTTTTTTTTTTTTTCTTTTCAACAAGACAAAATAAAGAAATGTGCTAATAGATTATCTGTGGATTCATGTGAATATATACGATATTCTAAACTTGTCTAATCTTAGCAAAAGAAAAATAAATAAATAACTTACTTAATTTAAAAAAAACAAACCTTAAGCATCACGCATGGGATAATTCCACGTGTCCAGCCTGCAATACTTAGAAAACTGAAAGGCCTGTTCCTTCGCCCCAAAAACGAAAAATCTAGACGCTCGTTCCCAATTGTCAAATCACCCAAATCCCAATATGGTAACCGGTGGTGCCTCCAAAAAGCGGCAACGCGCCGTACACACCGCCAACTCACCAACCGCCAGCAGCTCCAGCCGCCCTTGCGCCGCCATCATCATCGACTCCGACTCCAAACGACCCACCCACCCGAACCCGAACCCGAACCCATTTCCCAAACCCAGCCCAACCGCTCCCCAGTCCTTCAACGACCCTTCCTCCGCCGACGTTCTCCTCCGCCTCTTCGTCGACCCCTCCCCTCTCGACCCCCCAGCGACGTCGTTTTCTACCTCCCCCACCGCCCAGCCCCAAGACGACGTCGTTCTCCACCTCCACGCCCACGCCCTCCGCCGCTGCAAGTACTTCGCAGCCCTCTTATCCGACCGATGGCAGCGCCACCCACAAAAAGACGCCGTCCGCAACATCAGCCTGCGGGTCCCACCGACCCCTGGCGCCATGGATGCCCGCATTGCCCTCCTCGAACTCCTCTACAACTCCGACCTCGCTTCCGCCATAACCACCGTATCGGCCGCGCTCGACCTTCTCCCTGTCGCTTCCGAGCTCATCTTCGAGGACTGCGTCCGATTCTGCCTTCGCTTCCTCGAGGCGGTTCCATGGACGCAAGACGAAGAAACCCGAGTTCTCGCCCTAATCCCTCATTTGAGCGAAGACGAAGCCAAAGACCTCATGGCTAGGGTTTCGGGAGCTTCCGATTCGAGCGAGGAGATGCTGTACGGCCTCATCCTTGCCGTGACTCACAACCAGAGCATGGCGTTCGTCAAGGCCTTCGTCGCGAAGCTGCTGCGCGAGTTCGGGTCCAGAGAGCTGGTCGAGCGGGTTATGGATCGGGCGTTTCAGACCACCTTCAAGGTCGTCAAGGAGGCCATGGAGGAGTACACGAGCCCTGGAGTCCGTGGCAACCATGACGAGACCGAGGCCATCCAGAGGATCAACCTCCACACGGCCATGACCAACGGCAAGCACCTTCTGTGGCTTGTCGAGAGGATGATCGAGCTCCGAGTCGCTGAGTCCGCCGTGAAGGAGTGGAGCGAACAGCCGGCTTTCACCGCCGATTTGCAGAGGGCGTTTCGGGACGACGCGTGGAGGAATATCGTCCCGAGCCTCCCTAGCGTCTTGCTTCGCTGCACTTCGAGGCTGGTCAATGCGGTCGCTACTGGTACCATTTTGGTTGCTTCTCAGGTATTGTATTGTTTTCTTGTTAGAGTGGTTGAATATCATGTGCTTGAATTGCTTGCTTGGGTTTTTGTTTGTTCTACTTTTGGCTATTGATTGGTTCACATGGTGCGTTCCTCAATTAGTTTTGATGTTTGTGGCTCAATTTTGATGGGTATTGCTCAACATAGGAGCTTCTTTGGTTATGTTTTTCACCCCATTTTTCAAATTGATGGTATAGTTGAATAACATTAGAAATTTAGAACAGAACAGGAAGGGGGAGCTAATGTGCTCTGATGTGGATTTCTTCAAATATTAGCAAAATGGCCTTTTGTGTGGAATCTTATTGGGCTGTTTGGATTTATGCTTAACACACCTGAGCTATGGCTATGGCATTGACAGAACCAGCAGTCGGTATGTTCTGTAAATGGTTCTTCAATAATAATTTTGGATTGTGGAAAATGGAAAGAAGAGTGGAGAGGTGGAGGGAATTTTAACAGTTTTCCCATTTGGATGGTTAAATGTGGATAGAAATGGAGAGAAGAGAAGAGTCTCGCAATCTTATGTTTGGGTCACTTTTTACAACTCTGGAATTGGATTCGGAGAAAAAAAAGAGACTTGCATCTTGTTTGATTATTAAAAGTGGAATTTTTTTCTCCATTTGTTTCCTATCCATCCAAACAAAAAACAAAAGATAATAGAACACTTCTCTGTTCTCTCATATTTATTCTCTTTTGTTGAAGCGGAAAATACATTGTATGTTGCTTTTTACTGAAGTGTGTATAGGCGAGATCTATGCTCTTTTTCCTCTTTGGCTGGGTGTGGTTATTTCCTTAAAATATGCAGTAGTTATGTTTCTCTTTCTAAACCGCGCTTCAGAAATATGTTTTCCAGTTTACTTGATATTGCTTCTTGGTTATTAACACAATTTCACCACTGTTACTCGCATCCTTGTTTCTTAGGTGTTCAGGGGATTAACCAAGTTATTTCGATTTCTACTTTTGAAGTTACTGGTGTCCCAGACAGATCAAGTAACCTAAAACTGGTACCTATAATTATTTTTCAGGTGCGAAAGAAGCTTGTCAAAGATTGGCTTCCAGTTCTGATTGTTTGCAAAGACAATAATGCTTCACCTCTGACACCGAGTAACAAACCACTGTACTTGGATCTGGAAGAGACATTCCTCAGAATCATCTCTACACTGCCTATGCCAGATGCACAGGAGTTGCTGCAGCAATGCCTCAGCTTCTCTACCCGAAATGTTGAGGACTGCCCTCACTTGGTCACGGCATTCAACACCTGGTTCCGCCGTGCGACACATCCCCCTCAGGCACAGAATCTTTGTTAGAACCACTTGGGGTTTGTCTTTTGTTTATAGATGAATTAGTGCTGCCTTATAGTCTTGCCTTGTGGATATTTAGGCTCTCCTCTGGCATTGTGCATATTACCCTGTTGCCCTGGAGAGCCAAAAGTTTGCACCAAGTATATATAAACATAGAACCTCTGCAACAAAAAGGAAGTTTAACTGCTTTTGATGCTATTACTCGTAGCTTGCCTTCCTGGCCACCTGTAGTTTTTCAGTTTACTTGAATTTCAACCAGTGGTTAAATTTTGAATGGATAACTGGATCCTGGAAAATAGATTACCCCTCTTCGGTAAATATTCGTTTTGTTCGGCCGAGGTGCTGATGCCACTCTTGTACACATTTATATAAATAACTGTTTTCAAGTTGTATTTGTTGGCTCTCTAACTTGAAACCAATTTTGGTAATTCTGAATTGATCCGCCATCAAATTTGGGGCTTGCTTGCTCGTGCTCTTGCTCCTCTATCATGTCATTTGGGTTTGAGGTTTGCGAACTGCAGATGATTTTTTTTTTTTCTTCTCTTTGGTCAGTTATTCCAGGCTATCTTTGTTACTGGCAATTCATAAGAGGCTTGCGCTCTTTTTTTCTTTTCTTTTCAAGAAAAGCACTCTAATCAAAACCCAACAAGTTGGTGAACCATTTAACAAGAATGACGTAAATTTTGGTCACATTCCATTCAGCCAAAAATCCACTCTTATCAACTCAGAAACAGGTTTTGGGAACCTGTTGCCTTTATGGTATGTTTACATTTGAAACAAATCACTCCATTATTTCAGATAAGACATGAACCTTGATCCAAAAAGGGATATGTGAGAAACCACTTAATACTTATCTGGCATTGGATTGTAGCTAAAATGAAAATATTTGGAAATTTATATTACAGTAGCTGCCTTCTAAAGTTCCGGGTGGTGCCTTGGTAGGTTCGTATGAGCAACCCGACTCCAATGCCAACCCCGACACACATGCTCAAGCCAATCCCAACACCCACTCTCACACCAGCATTGAACCATGAAAGCTCTCCATCTTCACCTTCTACATATGCTGTCCCCCAGTACATGTTGTTTTCTCCATTTTCTGGTTTGTAATATGAGTATTCCGACTCCTGTGAAGTTAAATTAAATTGACATGTTCAAATCGAGACAAATTAAAATGAAATGCAGAATGCTTGTTCAGCTGCACAGAAGCATAATGCAAGTGAACTAGGACTCAGCTGCACAGAAGGGTTTCGAAAACTTAATGAATTTAGTTCTATAGGTATGCGTAGCATGCAATATGGCCTCAAAAGACAAAGTAAATAAGTGATAATTTCCTATACTTTGAACCATTCCATCTCCTTAGCACGGTATCTGTTCTATTTTCTTAAATTATTATTTCATGAGCGAATTCGGGGCTGGAGAATTTGCTGAAATAAAAAATCACAGGAATATCGTATATCTATACCAGATGCAACTCAAGGACATATAAGATGTAGAACTGAGTATTATTCTATTGATCTGTAGTTTCTCAACACGAACCCGTATGGCCAAAAGATTGTATTTGCTAGTCTGGGCATCCAGTATGCAATAACTTATCTGTTTTGTTTATTTTTTTTATGCTGATGTAACAGCAGAGCATTGAGCAGTAACAAACCATGAAATCAGATCAGCCATGGCCATGGCTAATGAAACATTAATATAACAAAGAGCAAGGCATCTCAAACTGAAATTCAAAATACATAAAGCCTACAAAAAATACCAAATGGACAGTAGGTACCTGAAAATCAAATCTAGAAGGATTGTTCCTCTGGTTTTCAGTTGCCTCATACTCTGGTATGGAATCCAACAACCGTTTCCTCACATGCTTCTTCCAAAGGCCAAGCTGCAAAGTCTTTGTTAAAATTATTGGAGTGCCCGAGAAGGACCCCGCGATGTATACCTCAATCGAAGGTGAAGCAGATTCTGCACCGGTAAATTGCTTTCCTTTAAAGAAGCCACTGCTTGCACTTATATCAGATTCACAATTCATGCTCCATCTCTGGCCATGGTGATCTGTTTCTGCATTGAAACCATTACTATTACACAATTCTAAAACCCCAGATAGCACAACAACATCTTTATCGAAAACCTCAAACTTTACACTTCCAGTCATTCTTATACTGTCAGTGCTCACAAATGTAGCTTCTTCAGACTTCTTATCTAACCGGTCCCTTCGAAGAAGGGTTGTTGCCCCATCTGAATTGATGCTAGTTCTAACACCATTGACTTCAAGAAGGGTATCAGGATCCAATGGAATATGATTTACTGTGAGGAATTCTGGAGCAGAATCATCGATCTCGTATTTGCTAATTCTAACATAAAAGACTCTTACATCAAGCCAGGGCAGTGATACCTTGATGCAGGTTTGGTAGTTGGATTGCCTCACAACCATTTGGCCATTATCAGTTGGCCCATGGCCATTTGATGCCTCATAAAAATTACCCATGATCCTCAATGGTTCACTTTTCCTCAATTAAATCCTTCCACCTCACTTGAGTTGATGAATAAAGATAGTCCATACAAATGGAAATCCTATAAGCATGAAGAACCTGCATCCATATCAGTGAAAAGAGAAATTTATTCAAAGTGAAAGAACTCTCTGTTTGTAAGAGAAGATTAGAACAAAACCAACTACGACAAAGGGGAACCCAGTTGTAGAGACAAAACCATTATCAGAAGAATATAAAAATAGCAAGAGAGGAAGCTAAACTTAAGTGAGAAACAGAGAACACATCAAACATGCAAGTTTTTCTGTAAGAACTCAAGTGAGAAACAGAAAGCTATTAATTGCTGAACCTGAGCAGAAAACCATATATGCAAGTTTTTCTGTAAGAACTCAAGTGAGAAACAAAAAGCTATTAATTGCTGAACCTGAGCAGCAGGAGAAAGGCTTCCATGAATGGGGGATAGCAACCCCGGCCAATAACGCTATGACATGCATGATAACATTTCCACGTGGCATAGCATTATTGGTCGGGGATAGCAGTGCTATCTCGTTGCAACTAAGTTTTTCTCGAGCTGAAGGCCAAAGAAACACCAAAGCAAAGCAAAACAAAGAGATAAAAGAAGGGATCAGATGGAAAAAAAAAAAAAAATCGAAATTTGAAACCCAAAGATTAATGGCTGAAGCCCAACATCAGGGTTAGTTTTAAAATCACATCAAACCAAAAAACAATATACAAAAAATAGAGAGGGAAGACTAGAGAGACAAAGCCAAAGGATTGAACTAAAAACTTACAATCTGGTAGCAGCAGAGCAACAAAGCTAAAGGTATTCTTCTACTCCAAATTGTTGAATTAGTATAGAATTCAATACAAGCATTCAACCCAACTGCTGACCCTGCAAACTGCAAAACTAGTTATCATCATAATTCGTAACTGACTGAAGAAGAAATTAATAGACCTCACAGACCCCAACAAAATGACCGGCGATAAACGACATATTTCCCACGACATTTAACAAGCAGACAAACTGTGTGTGTGCGTTTAATCACCAACACTAATTTAGTAACGTAAAACTCACCACATCACAAACATCTCACGGGCTCCAATGGTCCGATACACCAAAATAAAAGCTTTTGATCCACCACAGAAAATTTGTGGCCAGGAAAAGCAAATCACAAGCTATCGAATCAGAGAATGGAGAGCTACCCAAGTTCTGGCTATGAGAAACAGAATTGGGTTGTGATTGATTTGCAAGAAACAAGACCAACCCAAGTCCTCAAATTCAGAAAGAACAACTGGGTGTTTCTCTTAATTTCGGATTTTTTAGGTTTATTTATAAGAAGTGGGGGCCACTCTGTATCAGATGAGATCTTATCCTAGAAGGAGAGAGAGAGAGGGCATGCAGGTAGGCCAGGGTAATGAAATGAAAGGGACGTCCTAGCATTTTCGGCCGTAAGAATCTAATGGAGGAGGATCTTAATCCCATGTCGGTAAAATAGAACAGAAACTACTTAGATTTCGACATCTTTTTCTTGCAAGTTGCAAGCTTTAAGGATGAGTTGTAGCCGTGTATTAGTATGAAGGCAAGTTTTACCAAACGATTGAGCATGGCTAGTATTAAGGCTAATGGCGGGGACCAACAAGGACGTTGACGTTTAAAAACAGGGTGGGCTGTGAACATAGGAAAATTACAACATTTCTCTGCTTTTTGCTTTATATGTATAGATTATACGGACAATATTCACTTGCCGAACTTATATGTACTGCTGCTGACCAAGCCTTTCGGTGAATTTTCTGCCTAATCTTTGACGATTAAACTCTTTTAGTTTGATTATGATTTCAATTAAGGACAATTTGTTAAATTTACAAACAGATATCGACCTTCTGTTACGTAATAAACGAGTGGAGGGGTGAAATAGACCTTTTAGAGTTGAGTAGGTCTTTCTTCAATTTGCACCTTGAAATGTTCTTGTTACATAATAAACGTGTATAGGGATGAAATCACCAAATTGGAATTCTCATTCTGACTGCGGAAGTTCTCTTTGGATCTAAAACTCTAACACGCTTAAAATGCCAAATTTGCCTCTCCATGTGTTCATCATGTGACGAAAAGGTCAAATTCTGTTTGTTAAATATACGAATTGTTCTTAATGTTTTTAATTCCCAAAATTAAAACTACATGTCCTCCAAAGATCAGATGATAGCGAGGACCATTTATAGACTCACCCATCACCATAGGTTTGTTCGATTGATAAGTCCTCACATGAAATGTTTGTTTGTAGCATGCGCTCTTATATGCGTTCATTCGTAACTTTCAGTTGGCACTCATCACTCGTAGCACTACTAGAATGAGTATGTGATCACTTAGGACTCGTTTGGCACTACTTAATAAGCGTTCTTTTTTGTCATTTCAAAAACAATCTCAAACATATCCTTGATTGAAATCAATTTCGACAATTGAACATCGCATCTCCAAATTCCAACAATTAACCATTTATCTATGTATTTTAAAGATATGGCATTAACATCTTCATCTGAAGAGGAGAACATTTGGGTCAAATTCTCATGAATCTTATGAACTTGATAGAAACTTGCTAGTCACACTAGATGGATGTTATCTTAATAATCAACCGAAACAATGGAATTACAATGATGCGAGAGGTTTTCACGGAAATCGTTACATCATGTGCCATCACCCATCACAAATGTCTAACAGTTGAAGTAAAAACCAAAATTGATCACAGAAATCCTTTAAGAAATAGCAATTTATATGCCATTAGCACATAAGGAGGAGCGCAGTACAGTTCAACTTGATCGAACCGAGGCCAGGTTGCTTGGTTAAATTCGGTTCATATTCAGCTTGAATCAAGAAGCCCTACCCAAGAATAATTTATAATTAGCCAAGGTTAAATTCTCATTAAACAGAAATCATCATTTACTAAAGAAACATATGTGAAAAATCACACAATTAAAGTATCTAACATTTGAGGTTCTCATGTTTGAATAGTTTAGTGGAGGTGCTTTAACCCATTAATAGGTCTTATTGCAGAGTATTAAAACACATAAACTTCACAGGTGATCAGACTATGCAGTACCTGCAAGATTATGGTAACTAAGCAAATTTTCTGCATTTCAAATGGACAGTCGAACAATTCATCCATCACCTTGACAGGTATAATTTACTCTCTAACATAAAATGAGATATGCCCGGTTGAACTAGGAGGATGGCAATTGAATAGTGCCCCCACCCTTCAAGCCATGTCAGGCCTAATCACCCAACCTATCTCAACTTTTCCTATCTATATTATAGAATACAAGAGTCACCAACTATGGCTTCAACTTAGCACCACCCATCAGGGTGCTCCCTAGGGAACTATCTCAAATTTCTCTATCAGCCATTGGTCATTTTGAAACCCACGAAGAGCAGACTGAGGGAATCTCATGAAAATTTGCAGGAACTCCAACCCAGCTATATTTTCCACACAACACAAGTTTGTAAATGCTTTGGCCATTTGATTGCACACAAGTCTTTTCTATTTGTTTTTAAATTCTTGATTTAACAAACCCTAAGTCCTACATTGAAGAATAGGCAAAACCAAGTTTAGCTTCACTCAATCAGTCTGAGGTCACTTATTGACACAATCTCTATAAGTGAACGCATGTGTATTCAGGACAAGAAAACACAAAAATTGTCCTCAGACGCCTACCTTAGAAACGTACATGTAATAATTAAGACAAAGTGAAAACTATAATTTTGGAACATCAAGTGTATCTCACACAATGCAATTGCCAGAAAGCAAAGGAAAACGAAAAAAGGCAGAGGATGGAGTAACCAATATGCAAGCCAATTTGGTTCAAAAACTTGAAATGACCCGAGCCTGGAGTCTTTATCACCGAGGAACTGCAGCTTCTAGAAAGTCCAATGAAGAAATAGGAAGAGATCAGCGGATGAAGAAATTCTACCGAGAAAGAGAAAGAAAAAAAAAATTGTTTACTGTGAGTAGGATAAAATATATTGATGAAGGGTGTGGCGCGGAAGAGCCTAAGATTAATACATCAATTCAAAGGGGAATGATGACAACAAACTGCATCATATTTCAGATCAGCAGCAAATCAACAAAGTCAGTGGTTCTTTCATGGAACCAGACTTGCACTAGCCTACATCCTATAGATGTTTTGAGAACAATGAGAAGATTTTAATTTGAAGATGTCCAGCTTGTATTCTTATTTTCCTCTATCTACCTAGATGGAAACAAGAAGATCAAGTACATACAACCTTCCGATAGTGATGTAGGACACGTCCTCATCAAATAGAATATCCCATATTTTCATACCTTCTGCTGGCAGAGGTAAGAGAATTTGGCAATGAGCAAGAAATGAACACAAACAGGTCTAGCTGAATAATGCTGTGACCTAAAATATACTTAAATTTCTCCCTTCCCCCTGACCAACAACCAGCCTTGCACATTTTTCTATTTTTCTTCTTAATAGCCATATATAGTAGTATGATCAAATATGCCATTTTTCCATCTCAAATTATCAATTATCACATAAACCAAGCCTAACAGTAATCTAATTGTTTCACATTCACATTAAAGAATATACACAATATATGCAACTATGAACCATTAAAAGAAAATATATTGACAACACAGAAAGTTGCAAAGAAAAAATACATGCATCCAAGTGGATCATTTTTATCAAACTGCAATTTCTGTGCACATTCCATGTAATTTGAAATATAAAAAAGCAGAATATCCTCAAAAGTACCACTGAATATCTAAGGGAAGTTTAACAGCAGCAACTAAGTAGCTGAATTAACCAAGCTGACATAAGCTACGCAATACAGAGTCCAAAAGTTCAAGACAGGGAAGATTCTTTTTCTGTTGAGAAAGTGACACAGAAGGGAAAACCTATGCACTGATTACCTCACATAGCCAGCGGGCCTTGTCACAACGGTGATGCAAGACCTATACCACGATGCAGAAAAATGAGTCAGAAGACACCCAATGCAGAAACAAGAGGTAATCAGTGCGTCACTAGACAAGAAATGACTACCTTAAGAGCTATCCATTAATGAACAGACTGTATTAACCATGTCTGTGCACTGGAAACTTAAATTAACATCTAACTTTGACACTGACCCAAATTTTGGTTCTCCAAATTAATGAGCAAAGAAGGCTAAAATTTATGTAACTGGAGAAAGGAGACAGCTTTGTTGAGAATTATTTCTTCTTTATTTACTCAACTATTCCAAAAAACCAATAAATCCTAAATCTACTTCACACAACAACCAAAAGAAATAAGAAAAGAACTACAAAAAAACTCCCTACTTCCCATTACCAATATAGTTATAGGTCCGAATAACAAAAAAAAAAATAGGTCCCTAAAGAAACAGAAAAAGAAAACAGTTCAACAAGACAAACATAAATGAAAAGAGGAAAAGAGAGTAGGTGGGTTACCTTGAGAAAGGCAGCTCCAGCAGGTGGAATCGACGGCAATGTTGGATTTGAGCCGAGCAGAAGCAATGGCACTGTGAAGTGGCATCATTGACTCCATGCTTCCCAATACCGAAACAAACCTATACAAATTGCAATGACAACAATTTCAGTTATTTTGCTTGTATTTACATCTTTCTTGAGGGAAAATGGGAGACCAAAAATGGGTTTCCGAAGCCATTGAAATTGTCAAAAACGGCTGAGTTGAAGAGTTTTGAGAAGATTGTACCTTGTAGCGCAAGGGATGGTTCTGGTGGCCGAAGCAAATGGAGACGACATGGCTGCAGGGTTTAGGGAGTTTAGGGAGCTCTGGCTGAGGGTTCTTGAGCGAGCCATGGATCTCGAGCCGGCCATTAGAGCTGATCTGCAGAGGGAAGCCATTTCTTGTTTCGGGGGATAGAGTAGCAGTGTAAAGAAGCAATGAGTTGAATGAATCACAGGTTCGATGATGCAGAGATGCAGACTCGCGCTTAAACCCTACCCCCTTGCTGATGCGGCTTTCTACGACGCCGTTTCGGTTCGCACTAAACACCTTCTGTCTTCTTCCTTTGCCTCTAGCTGTTTGGGCTGGACCGAGTCCTTATGATTTAGGGCTTGGGCAAACTTTGCCCGATGGGCCAGGTCAAGTCATTCTCGGGCCTCAGGTCATTCGGATGTATAACGCAATTCGGCGAAATGACGAAATTGGATCGTTTGCGCAGTTGGAGGATGGCAGTAACTGAAAAATAAGTTTATAAAAAATAAATAAAAACATAATTTTCAAGATAGGTCGTTTATAAAATAAAAATAAAAACTAAAAAAAAAAAGTATTAAGAAGATTTGGACAGACTTGGTTTGGCTTGTTCAGTTTGGTTTCTTGCTTTTAAGTTTAGATTTTCTGGGTTAAGCCTTGTCCCTTCATAACTTCAGAATGATGCTTATTGTATATCACATTTCAGTACTTTTATCTAAACAAAAACAAAGACAAATAAAGAAACTTTGTATATACTAAGAAGAGAAACTAAAGCCGATCAAAATCGTGGTACAACTATATTCATCTACAGCTATCACTTGTAGAGTTAATATCTTAGATACAAGCCATGAGCTCTTCCATATATGATTCAGTCCATTTAGAGTAGCTGCTGTCGACATTCTCAGAGTTACTTGGGCTGCAAGCATCCTCCACTTTGGTTTCACAAAGTATTTGTTCAATGTTGAAGATAGGATTGTCCTCGAAGAATGTCAGATCAGTCGGATCAACATCATCATAAGAGACCACAAGTTCACCACCAGTCAGACTAGAAGAGCAGCCTTGTTGTACATGTGATGATGATTCTTCCGTTGATCCCATTTGATGATCTTTTTTCATCTTTTTGTTTGTGCTCCTCTTTTTTTGTACTTGATCTTGTGATGAACGCTTTAAATTTATTTCCTTACTCGAGGCCCTGTCGTTCTTCCTCATCCGGCAAATCACGAAATCGAAATCGTAACAACGATCATTGTAGTCATTCTTGGGACCAACAAAAAGACTATATTCATCCAGTAACCACCATGTGTGCTCCTCGGACCCTTTATTCTCATAGCGGAATTTTCGTTTTCGGCCAATGGGGTTCGGGTTTCCATTGTCGTACTCAATAAGTTTGAAGGATTCAGTTTCACTCCAGGTACCGCCGTGGCCAATGCTACGATCCATGCGCTTTGGGCTTAACTTCTTGAGCCCGGAAAGGAAATACAAGTCTTGATCAACAAGTTGAGGCCCTCCGTACTTGTTCCAAATCTCTGAAGGCTCTAACTTGTTGCCGAAGAGATTGCAGGCACGGATGAAGTTGCTGTACGGCGGCATCAAAGGATTTCTGTCGACCAACAAGGTGTGGAGAAAGGAACCCACAATCTCTTTATCAGTGGGGTGGAAACGGAAACCTAACGGCACATTCTGATAATGTGCCATTGCTTGCTTGCTTGGTGCTGCTAATTAAGAAGAGAAGAGAAAGAGAAATCAAGTGACGTTGTTTGAGCGTAATCTGAATTGTATTTATAGGGAGTGTCTGGTTTAGGGTTTCTTTAGTTTCCTTCCTGCGTAAGGAAATAGAATTCCAGATGAAACATGGAAACTCTTTTTTGTCTTTTTCTTATTTTGTTTTAATTTGAAAGAAAATTTGATTGGCCTGAGCAGTTTTGGTACTTTATTATTATGTTTCTTTTTTGTCTTTTTCCAAATTGAATTGAATAAAAGGAGATTGGTTATCTGCCGCAATGTACGTGGTGCTGGTTAGGATCAGGAAAGGCATGAGGCCTTGAAGGACTTGCAGAGAAGCTTGACACAACTCCATCAAGTTTTCCTGGACATGGCAGTGATGGTTGAAAAGCAAGGGGAACAAATGGATGATATTGAACAGAATGTGGCTGATGCTGGAGCTTACATTCATGGTGGAACCAATGCTCTTTTTTCTGCATTGAAGCTGTTGACTGGGCTCTTTCAAAGCAGATACATGGTAATTGTGGCATTACTGTAAAAAATGCTCTTCTTGCTTCAGAAGATGGTACGTGTGGCATTACTGTAACTCTATTCTCATTTAGCAAACTTTTGTCTTACTGTAATGCTGTTATTGATGAATATATACTTGCTTATATGATTGTATCTACATCTAATGATACAAAAGCACCGATTTTTACAGGACAAAAGGATGGAATGGAAGAGAATGACAGTAGCAGTAAAGATTTAGAGGGCAATGCTGGGCATTTCTATAAAAAGTCTGAGCACCGTGATGGAATTCACAGCGGTCCTGATGACTCTAATACCATAGAGAAGAAAGACATCCCCACTGAAATAAATTTTGAAGAGGAAGTAGACATTGCAAGAAAAGTTCTAAACAACTTGATCGCGTCTGCCACAGAAACGTCTCATGACGATCAAGAAGCCGTCTATTTTTTAATCTTCTGAGGAGCCCAGTAAATCATCTTTTGAGACTGCTAAAGCATCCGATGTTACTAAGCCTGAAAAGTTAAGCAAAAGCATGGCACCAAATCTTGAACAGACAAGACGAAGAAGATGATTTGCACAACAGAACAATTTTCATACGCAATCTTCCTTTTGATATCAATAATGAAGATGTAAAACAAAGGTTTTCTACCTTTGGGGAAGTGCAATCTTTTTTCACACAATCCTTCATCCAGTCACCAAGTATGCTTTCAACTTTTGGTTTGATATGATTCCTACATCTTTATTGTGCTATTATGTTGTGGCAGGCGACCACAAGGAACTGGCTTTCTCAAGTTTTAAACAAAAGATGCAGCCAGTTCTGCAGTTTCAGGATGTTATGTTTTGAACTCTTTGATCGTTATGTCATGTTTGGCAGATTCATATGTCGGAATAGATACCAAGATCGCACTCTCCTGTTAACTTTTAGAAAATTAAAGTAATTGGTCAAAATTTGAAAGCTTTTAATTTAAACGTGAACTATAGTTTGACAATGTTCTTTATCTTCATTTGAACATAGACAATAAGTTGTTTTGGGAACATTCAGAACACAAGTGAAATCCACTATAAAAGCTGGCTACCACATACCGACCAACTCTTGATATGGTGGTACGTTTCTTCCCAACGTTGGAGGATATCTCAAATTCAAATCCTCACTCCCCAATTGAGAAAATAAATAAATAAATAAACAATGGCTCCCACATAAAATAGTGAAAGATGGACATAACAAGCAAAAGGGTTTTTCCTAGAGAGGTGCCATTTTTACACGACGGACGAAAAACTTTCATTTGTCAATTTAAAATTTTAAAATCCTTCATAATATAGTAAGCAAAACAAGAACCTTGCTTCTAAGCTTTGGGACCAATTGTTTATTCAATATCTGGTTGTTATACTGCATACTGAGGACAAAAGCTTTTATAGTGGATTCGCCCAACATGGACATACATTTCCATTCCAATCCATCATCCCATGTATGTAATCACTGTTGATGCACGACAAAGATTTCATTTTATGTGAAAAAATAATCACCCGGCAGGGAGAGAGCTTAAGCAAACAAGATTAGAAAAAGCCATAAAGCTCCAAGGGGCATACAAGATTAGATCATCATGTATTGAAAACCAAAGTAACCAACTATAAGATATGAATGAACCAATGAGATATCCAAATTGTAGCATTGATGGAGGAGGGGAAAGTGATCAATGGTAAGTAAATCCTTAATCATTAATCATTAGTTTTTAGTCAATTGTAAGGTGTTTGAATCGGAATACCTAAACAAACATAAACAAAGGAATGTAGGAGTAGGAGATATTGCATTACTAAACCACACATCTAAAAAAGTACACATATGTCTTAGCAGCGCCCTCCGTTCTATCAACACAAAAGTCGAAATATTTCATGAACCTGCGTACATCTCAAAAACTTTTAAGTTAAGAAACACGTTAATGTACACAGGGATAACAAATAAACCAATGACAATGAAAACTAGCTAAATTAGCAATCAGTTTTTGGAGGGAAGCATGGAATGTAGGACCAACTTGTATATATTTTTGTTTAGGAAAGTCCACACTTCATTTCGCCCTAAACTTTCGCCCTAAACGATCAGTCACATGCCCAAGCTTAGCAAACTATATGCATTATCACATCGATCGGCTATGAATCTGATTACAAATAATAAGGAATCTACCTTGATGGAAAACTGCTAAATCTCTCTTTTGATATCCAAAGATTTCATGGCATCTCCGCTTCTTCAATCTTCCTTTTCTGAATATGCTTATCTATAATTTGTTGAAACTGAAATGGAAATAAGCATATATGATTTGAGTCATTATTTAAGCAGCAGCAGCAGCAATGTGATTAGGGAATCTGAAAACCTGATAACAAGTACAAAGGCATATACCCTGTTGACTAAGGCCCCGTTTGGGATTGCTTTTTTTGGCCAAAAACCTGCTTAACTTTAAAGTTAAGCAGTTTAAGGTGTTTGGTAAAATTAAAATATCCTGATTATTTTAAAAGCAGTGGCCTTTTGACAGCAGCTTTTAAAAGCTGACTCTGGGTTGCTTTTCAAAGCTGCTTTCAAAAGAAGCAGAGATAAACATTTAATGAATTTTTTTAATTCTCAAAATATCATCATTCATTTTAAAAAAATGACACCACCTCCACTTTTACATCCAACTCCACCACTTGCACCACCACATTTACTACCTCCACAACCACCGCCACCACCACCACCACCACAACCACCACATCCTCCTCCTCCTCATCCTCCGCCACCACCACCTCCAACATCACCTCCTCCTCATTCACCACCACCGCCGCCACCACCACCACCACCACCTCCACCACCACCACCACCATCACCACCTCCTCCAAAACCTCCACATCCACCACCACCACCATGTTGCCACTACCATCGCCACCTCCACAACTGCCATCCCCACCACCACAACCATCAACTTCGCCTTCATCTCCACCCTCAACTCCACTCCGTCACTATCACTACCACTACCACCACATGATTAGTGCATAACACTTTTAACATCATGTCTATTTTAGTCATTATTCACAGT